AAAAATGGCAAAAGTTGTTAGGGAGATGTTTTACACCACAACGGCATAAATTAAAAATGATCAAGTTGTTAATATATGACTTGTAATCATAAGTGGATAGACCTATTCCAGCCCTACACTTGGGAGACTAAAAAGCATATTTTAAAAGGCATAGTCACACTTTTTTATAACCTGAGTGGTGAACGCAAGCTAAATTCAGTTGTAACGGCTTCTGGGTTTTGCATCTTTGCTAAATTTCATGCCACATTGAAAATTCTGTAGTAGTGTGATGTGACTACAAAATCATTCCAGAACAGGTTTTAATTAAAAATAAAAATGCATTGTCTATTCCATGTGTGACATGTTTGATCTAGAAAGATATAAAACTTATACTTCGATAAACTTTTGGTTTGCAGTGTGCCATGGAGCATCTTGTGTTGTATACAGGCTGCAAAAAGCTGACATGTTATACCAGATTCCAGGTATACAGGCTGCAGTAAAAGTTCCCTTTGACTGCTCATTGAAGGAATACGTGGGTGGGGGCAAATGGCCGATTGCCCCTAGCGTATAGGCTGCAACAAAGCTGAGGAGAGAGAGAAAAAAAAAAACCCCACACCACACTAAAAGGTTTCCAGTGTATCCCACTGAAAGTAAACAAAATTAGAGGCAATCCACATGGAGAAAGAAAAATACTGGGCACAAACAGGGAAAAGTTAAGATTTTAAAACCTAGGAAAAGCATTTCAGGAAAAAAATATAGAAAAGAACTCATAGCAAAATACAGAAATGAAATCAAGAAAAGCAAGGAGCTTTATAGTCACAAGGACCATTTTGCATGGAAATGTGAAGAGAAGGGAAAGTTCTTAGAAAAAATAAAGCGAAGTTAAAGTAAAAAAATCCAGACATATAAAAAATACATCTACAGGTGGAACCTAAGGGAAAATTACACATCATTGCAAATGATCTATATGGGGGGGGGGGGGGGGAGAAATAATAATACTAATGCACAGTTGTACCTATTCTTTACTGAACCTAAACGGAGTAGAAACACAAATAAGGTTCTTTGAATATTCTTTTTTTTTTAGATTTGCTAGCTATACCAGTCTGCTGTGAAAAGTGGTTTTTGTATGTTTGTTAATATAACTTTTCGCAGCACACGTAAGCAAGAGGGGCTGCAGAGGCCAGGGTGGGCTGAACTTAGGGCCAAAGCTCAACATTCCACAGCCCAAATGAAGCCCAAAGCCCTGTGACTTGGAGTCTGCCATTCCAGGACTGAAGCCCAACCTCACCACCTGAGGAAGGGGGGAATTTACCAACTGCCTACTTTTCCAGAGTGTCTTCAGAGGGGGATGAAGGCCCAGCCACTACTGGCATCCTCTGGTGAGGGGCTGTTGCTCCCCCCACTCTCAATTACTGCCCAGGAGGTTGTGGCCACAAGAAAAGCCCGTGGTGGTTGCATGTGGCCCAAGAGGCCGCATTTGAGAAACGCTGACATATGGTGTTTAAACTCTTCCTGACAGACTCCTTTTTCTTTGTGCTGTACAGATTTAAGTGCACAGTCACCATTTTAAGAACAAAACATCAAAAAATGGGACATTGCCTCTGAAATGAGATGCTTTCTTGCATTCCCCTTAAGTGCAGCAGTAGCCAGGACCCAAAATGTCAGTAAACGAACTGAATTCTTTTGTTTTATACTGCATTTTTCTTAAACATCTCACCATTCTAGTGTAGATAAGATTCCTATGACCATAAGAAGTGCTGTCTAGGCTGTTCTGTGTGTGAAACACTATTAGTATATGCTAGAGCATTCACAATTTCTGCTGACACTGGCAATAGTGCAACTCACAGTAAGAATTTTTACAATGACAAAGATAACATTTACAGTACTATAAAACAAACCTCTTTACTGCTAATCATTTTACTAGTAAGACATAAAGATAACATATTACAACATATGTATATACATACTTTTGTTTGGCATCCCCGCTATATGTCTCCCCAGTATATGTCAGTTCCGGACTAATGTTGTTGACACTTGTAGGAACTGTTGCACGGTAAGTCCTCCCATTCCTTGCTCTTACATTGTGTGCGTACACACAAGATTTGCACAAATAGAAGTCAGCTGCAGGAAAAAAATTCCCCGCTTTATGTTGTTTCACTATACGTTCACGCTTTTTGGAATGTATCTTGGACATATAGCAGGGACACCCTGCATATAATATATATCAAAGAGTTCTGAGCTTATCTAAAATCTTGTTCAGACTAATTTAACATCACATTTTATTGCCTTATTTGAGGATTCACTGTATTTAAAAATTAAATACACCCTGTATCCAGTTCCATTGTCAGTGTGTTTGTCTGTCTATAGCAAATTAATTCCAGAATTTGGATCCAATCGGAGTAAAATAGATCCCATTTTAATCATTTTCTGTAGGCAACGAATGTGTGGTACCATGAAAATAGATCAATTGAAAGGTTTGGATTTTAGTTTAAAAAGTGATAGTATCTTAATATATTTTAACCAGCCAGACTGCTATGTTCAAATGAACTGAGAAGTGGGATCAAGAAAGAAGCCAAAACCTAGTTACCTCTGATGTGACAGTTCTATTACCAAGCTATTAACTTCAAAGGGCAACAACTAGAGGGAACATAACAAGTGGCAGAGGAGGTTGGAGGGGGTGGGAGTGGGAAGAGGAGGATGAAGAGGCAAGATGACAAAGATTAGAAATCAAAGTTCTATTTGTCCAAGATATTCTGCAGTGGGCCTTCAAGTATTCACTAGATCTGAATGAATCATTTATGCCACACAGTGTTATAAACAAATTTGTAGTCAGATCATTTTCTTTGTTCTCACTGCAAAAGAGGTATGTTTTTTACATTGAGATGTAAAATCATAGTGGATACAATAGATAGTTAATTGTAATCAACCTTACATCTCTCATTTGTTTGCATCCACTCACTACATCAAGGTTAAGGCTATCCACCACTCATTTCCATTAGAATTCTACATTGCAATTATAACTAACCCGAGATAATTATAACTAACCCGACATAGCCTCTGACTGGCAATTTTTAGGGGGCACATAGTAAATTTGGGGATCACTGGTCATAAATTCTGATCAAATTCAGCAAATAGCTTAACAGTTTCATATAGATTCCAAGATCAGTATGTACCATTCTGATCATCTAGTTTCCCATGTAACATAATCAAAGTACTTCCCCAATGTAATCACTATCGTATATGTTTTAAATAACATCCCATCATGATTCAAAACCAGCTGGTAATGGTGAATAAACTGTTCCAATGGTTATTTACTCTCAGTTAAAATTTTACTCCTTATTTCCAGTCTGAATTTGTCTAGTTTCAACTTGCAGCCATTGGACTGTGTTGTACCTGTCTCAGCTAGATGTAAGAGCGCGTTATAAAATACTGATTCTTGATGTAAGTATATATATAGATTATACTCAAGTCACTCCTTTACTTTCTCTCTGTTAAACTGAATAGATCAAACTCTTGATTCCATCACTGTAAGGCAGGTTTTTCTAAACCTTTAATTATTTTTGTAGCTCTTCTCTGAACCCTCTTTAATTGATCAACATCCTTCTTGAATTGTGGACACAAAGCTAGACACAGTATTTCAGCAGTAGTTGCATTAGTGCAAAATAGAGAGAAAATTACTTCTCCTGTCCTTGAGATTAACTTTCACACACCTAAGGGAGGAATTAGCCCTTTTGGAGACAGCTAATGGAAGCTAATGTTCAGCTTTATTGATCACAATCCCCAAATCTTTTTCAGAATCACTGCTTCCCGGGATAGAGTCCTCTATCCTATAAGTAAGCCTATATTTTTTTGTTCACAGAAGCATAATTTATAATTAGCCATATAGCCAGTGAACCAGATCTCTGTGTATCAGTGACCTGTCCTCTTCATTATTTACAATGCCAACTTTATCAACAATGATCTAATTTTCTCTTGGGCCATTGATAAACATCTACTATATATTCTGAAGAGTTTGTGGATTTGTTTTTGCAAAGTAAAGTCACACTGTGCGATTACCTACAGATACCAAATTTTACATTAGCAATCCTGTCACTTAAGTTAGCTAAATGCACTAGTTTTTACACCAGAATATGCTAGGTGAAAGATTTAAATTATTATTTTTGGCTTTCATTGGATAAAAGTCATGACTATCATGATTCGAGTTCATAAAAATATTTGCTAACAAAATTAAAAATGAGTTGCCTATTCAACTGTCATGTTAGTGCAAAGAAAGTTTTTACTATTACAAATCACAAAATAATTCAGATTAGTTACAGAAAGAGTAATGAAAGCTTTACTTGATAGGAGTTACCTTTTTTTGGCATTCATATTTGTTTTGTTATGCATCAGTGATTTATTTCAATTTCATTTTTTATTTTGATATTTATTTTGACCAACACTAGTTAATTTTCTTCACTTATTAAGAGTTTGGGATTCAAATGTACTATGTATGGTAATTATTCAATAAAATTAATAATGTTTGAGGTTGAAATCCTACAAATTTAAAAACTGTTCCTTTACTTCCCTTTTGCAAGCCCATTAATAAAAATTTAATTTCTTGAACTTTTCTATAAGTGTAATGTATGCAAAATGATTTTGCCCAGTCAACAACAGGCCTCATCTGCTTGTAATAAATAGCACAGAGCTACAAACTGATCCCTGAGGGATCCCACTGCAAACATGTTCATTTGATGATTCTCCATTTACAAGAAGCCTATCAGTTAGCCAACTCTTAATCAGTTTAATTTGTGCCATGTTATTTTTATATTGCTCTTGTACGGTCATAGAGAAGTCTAAATTATTACATCAACACTAGTTCCTTATCAGCCAAACTTGTGATCTCGTTTAAAAAAATGATATCAAGTTAGTTTGACATAAACCCAGGTTTATTGGCATTAATTATATTACCCTTCTTCTTCAATCTTTATCAATCAAGTCTTGAATCAGTTGCTCCATCATCTTGCCTGGTACTGATGGCAGGCTGACAAGGCCTATAATTACCTGGGAAATCCTGTTCACCCTTTTTAAATATTGGCACAACACTTACTTTCTTCCTGTCTTCTAGCACTTCATTGAGGTACCAAGATTTATTGAAAATCAAAAGCTGAAAAAGAAATGGAAAATAATTTTTAAAATGTCTAAACTATTTCAGCCATTTTGATACTAAATGTTAAAACAGAGTTTGAACCATTCTGAAAGAAACTTGACTTATTACAAAATCCATTTTGTAAAAAATTTAGCTACTTACAAAATGGTTAGAATCCCCCCCAAAACTGAACACATTTTGTTTTGCGTTGAATGAAATGTATTCAAGTTTTTTGTTCCCGCAAGAAAAAAAATCCATTTCAGTTCAAATCAAACTAATTTTTTTTTTCAATTTGGAACCAAAACAAAACAAAACAAAAAATCAATTTCTCCTTCAATGTCTGAGGGAGAAGAGCAAGAATAGTAAAATGCTACACTTCTCTTTCTTTATCCTGTAGGTGGCCTTGCTAGCAGCAATTTTTCTACATTAAACTTCTGTAAGAATGAATGACTACTCCAGAATTTAAGTTTAGTTTTCTCATTACATTTACACAAAATAACTGTATATACAAATCTAGCTGCAAAGGATGCAGTCAGGTTCTTCCTGTTTGCCTTGTTTTACTATCTCTGTTTCAGAGTTATGTGGAGGGGTTTTGGAAACCATGTCTTCTTAGTACTTAGGATTGACACATACAGAATGCACCACTTTACAAATTTACATGCTTACACTGAATGTACTTTCAAGATGCATTTATGAGAGTAAAACTTAACCAACTCAAATATTCTGAAAAAGCAAGCAATTTATTTTTTCATTTGATTGAAGTGTCATAATTTTTGCAGTATTTCCTCTATTTTCAACATAGCTACTGTGTTTATTAAGGGATTATACGAGTTATCTGTAGATTTAGGTTACTGCTGTAACTATACAGATTATTAACTGAAAGAATCAGCACTCATCACCCCCCAAAAAACATATTAAACTTTGCTATGGAACTCACTGCAAATAGAAATCAGGTTGAACCATATCAGTGACCTATAGGCTATGTTGCAAGACTCCTTTCTGATGCCCATCTTCTGCTCCTGGAACTAATGATGTAAGAATAATTCTTCAAAGCAAAGTGGTTTGAATCAAAGGGTAGAAGAACGGAATTTGACTCCATCTCTAGAATACAGGGTTGTTCTTCTACATTTATAAAATGTTACATTGACACTCTAGTCCTTATTTCCATATAAATGCTAACAAGAGAAAGAAGTCTGAGTACACCACTACATTTTAAAACAGTTATAATTTCATTAAAATAGGAACATAATTTAAAGATTATTCTCTGATGATTTACTCATGCAAATTGCATATGAAAGAAAACAGTACAGTTTGTGAAACATGTCAAATGTAAAGACTCAAAATGCTAAGTACAGAAGTAGTGTGACATGTCTCAAAACGGAATTCATAGTTGTACTTCTCCATTTGCTGAGCACAGACAGGTTTATTATTATTCCTTTCCCAATGGCATTGATGAATTCATTAAAATGTTTACACGTTTCCTCACGCTTACGTAGACTTATTTTACAGGCACAACAGCTTTATTTAAAAAAATCACTTGAATAAATAATGTAAAAATGTCTTAGTGTTTAGGAGAGAGAATGATAATGTAACCAATGAGGTTTTTATCTAGTTTGCTAAAATTACAATGAAAAGTAATAACTGTATACCTGCATAATTCACATTTTGTGCCTTTGAGATCAACTACATTCTCACAAGACTTATGGTATATTTTACCACTGTGGACTTTTTCAATAACTAACTGCCCCCATTAAACTGGTAAAAGTATTTAAACATATGGGTTTAGCAACTCAAAAATTATTTCCTTGTTTTTAAAATACAAAATATTTAGAATTTCTATTATTTTCACACATACAGCACTGAAATGATATACACACAATTCAGATAAGTCTTTGTCCAGTTTTGATTATAGTACGGTTGTATATTATACAAATTATGTTCTTCCTCTGTATTACCAATTACATTTCATATATTTAAAATTGAATCTCATAAGGAATTGGATAGCACTGAGCTTTAAAACAGTGTAGCATGGAGAAGGAAGAGAAAATGAACTACTCAACCCATTATAAATGCATTAAATCTTTGTTATATACATAATGGAATCCTGTCTTACTGCCAATATTTGCTATTCTTTTGCTATTATACAAAGTTTTCTGACCTGAAAGCACAAACCTACTCCCCACATATAATCTATTGTAAAATATTGTACTATATTTTGAACATGAGCAAAGAATCCAAATAGGTAATGGCACATTTAAAAAACTCAATATCCCACAGATGACTGGATAATGAGAAGAAGTGTACCTACAATCATACCATCAGAAACAAACATACATCATGGAATGTTAGTTACCCAAGTTTGCACTGTATATAACATTTTTAAACTGCAATCTATCAGCCAGCATCACATTGAAGGCATCTTTAAACATTCAAGCAAAGACTGCTGGCATAAACTACTGAACCATTCTCACACACATACACACCCACATTATAATTACATTGTTTCCAAGATATGGTAGATACTGATTTTTCCACAAGAAAGGTATCAAAATTTTGCTACTAAAAGATGACAGTGCTTACACAAGAATTAAGTACAAGTTAGCTTGCAAATACAAGACAATGACAAAGAAGAGAAGAAGTGTTGTTTAACAAAGGTCTCTTAGGCTTCTCTGGCATCCATATGTGTGTATGAGTAAATTCCTTAGTCTGTGATTCAAAAATCCACAAAGTATCAAGCTATTTATGAAAATTATTTCGTATCTGATAACCCTGTATTGTACAACATCTGTTTACTACTAGCCTCAAATGGTAGTTGCAGTCCACTGTTTTGACAGCAGAAATAAAGTTCCCCCTTTAAAAATAAAATGTTGAAAAAATTGGCATCAGTTTTTAAAGAAAATCTAGTTAGTAATAACCCTCACCTGTTTTGCGTATGTGCATAAAAGTACTTTATGTCCCTACATCATACTGGCCCTGTTAAACAATTTTTTTTAAAAAAACCAAACAAAACAATTAACAAGCCAAACAAAATGGTACATATGACATAAAGCAAACATTTTCTCCCAATGTTCTTTCTCTCAATGTGCAAAACAATAAAAAAGGCAAAAAGACTAAAAGCAAATGCACTGTTACTGTCTTTTTCTCTTGCCTAGTGCTTTATGACCTTGATAACATTACAAAGTCAATAGGGACTATGCAGAACTTTGGTATAAAATGTCACATAACAATATTACTATCACAGTCTTGGGGATGAGCTTTAACAATTCACCCCAATGTTGGTTGAAATCATACCAAATTAAAAGTGAAATAAACCACATTGTACTGTTCACACACTTTACACATTGAGCACTCAAAATAATTAATAAACTAACTTTTTTAAAAAAAATCATTCTACGAGGAGACTAGAAACTGTTGAGTCTCCTCTTGATCTGCCAATCTTTAACGCCAAATTTAAATTTGAATTTTAAAAATGAATATTTTTAAGCTACTTTTTTTAGATAGTGACTGGTCTTGTTTTCCCTTTAAAGTCACAAGTGTATATCTAAGAAACTGTTGCAATGCAAGTTTTTAATCAACTTCCTGAAGGTTGTGACTGGGAAGGAGCCACAACAATCTGTGAAAGCACTGGCTCTGTACTCTGGTCCGCCATCTGGGTGAGAACTGACGTGGCTACGGCTTCTGCCTTGGAGGTTGAACTTACTCCATTGGAAGTGCTGACAGAACTATGCTGAATTGCTTCTGTATGTGGACTACTTGGCACTGAAATGTCTTCAGAACTGTCATCTTTATCTGCAGCTAAAGACAAAAAAATCATTTGCTGTTTTTTCTAAAACATGTATAATTTTATTCAGATATCTAATAAGAGTCCTGTAAATAATCACAATTACCAGTATATACATAAAGACATTTGTCAACTATTTATTGTTACTAATTATTTTATAAAGATGAACAGGCAACTTGGTTTATATTTTTTCTATAAACAGAAAACGCACCCACACAAGACAGAATGTTAGCATATTAATGGCAGATGCATTTTCAAATGATTGTTCCCACCTATATAAACCACAGTTATTTTTGGAGCAAAATGCAGGACAATGTAGCACTTTAAAGACTAACAAGATGGTTTATTAGATGATGACCTTTCGTGGGCCAGACCCACTTCCTCAGATCAAATAGTGGATCTAGTTCAGCAATTGATGACTACACAACACCTGAGTCTAATGATGAATGTAGATGAGAATAATATTTATAGTTTAAATGCAACCAGCTGTTCTATAGTCATATGAATTAATTGGAGTAAGATTTTAAAAAACCCACAAGATACTGCATTTGACTAGTAATTCAGTAAGAGAATCACTCTCAGCTTGATAATTAATATTTATGAAAATCTGTCTGTAATACTGTAAATTGTTATTGCTTAGTCGGACAATAAAGTTTTCAATAAACAAAATCTTCATTCTTTCAACAAGATGAAATTAAATTAATTTTGCTTAGCACTTAAATATCTGCCAATAAGTCTTAATTAACATGACATGAAAGTCTATAAAAATGAGAAGGCATCCAAAAATGTCAAAGTACTCAAATGAATTACTCAAACATTCCTGTCCACATTTTTTATCATCACAAAATCTTAGTATTAAAAAATCAAAACTTTACTTCCTGTGCAAATTTGTTTTTTAAAAATAGGAATTATTCTTTCAATAAATGCATCAGCTATATTAAACAAAAAAAGTCCTTTAATTTAGAGCAGAGAAAGTTTTCCTAAAATCCCCTTTTGTATGTATTTCACTTATGAAAAGCAAGCCAATAAGAAGTGAAATTCACATCATAGATTACCTTCACATTCAGCTTTGGAGTTAACTATCTTGAATAATTCTGTATTATCTGCAAATTTTGGCACCTTGTATTCACCCCTTTTCCCAGATCATTTATGAATATGTTGAACAGGTTCAGGTAGATATCCATGGAGGAACCTCACTATTAATCTCTCTCAATTGTGATAGCAGAATGTTCATTTGTAATCTTTTTTCATATATTTTAACCAGTTACTGACTCATGACAGGTTCTACCCTCTTATTCCATGACTTGACTATTTAGTTTTCTTTGGTGAGGAAACTTGTTAAAAGATTCCTGAAGTCAAAAGTACTGTGTCAACTGGATTACCCTGCACTTTTAGATAGTGAACCAGGATTTCCCTATACAAATGCCACATTGACTCTCTCTCCCAACATATCATGTTAATCTATGGGCACATCTACACTATGGAGGTAACGTTGAATCTAATATGGTTGATTTCGTATCACCCAATTTTGTGAAGTTGAAGGGCCGTGTTCTCACTGTGGGAAAGTATTGAGTATGGTCAAAGTAGCGTGTCCCTATTAGGGAGCATAGCATTGACTCAGAGCAAGGCAGCTTTGCATTCTGGGCTATGCTCATGGTGCTCTCTGGGTCCAAAATTCTACAGTGGGTGCTTGGAGGGGCTCATGCTGCCAGCTTCCTGTAAGGCACCCATCTAGTCCCTCCACCCTTGCATGAGATCAAGGGGAAGCAGTGTGCTTGCACCTTGTGGTGCCCTCGTCACCCATTCAAATGTCATAGAAGCGCGAGCATGGAGCTCGCTTTGCAGCAAACCATTGTGATGGCATTGTGGTGAGCCTAATTGTGCATTATTTGGACAGCATATGCATGCCACTCCACTAGGAAGAGAATGTGGAGCTGATCATGTAAGGCTTGGCGCTGAGGCTGGCACTTATGCTAGCGCAGCTGCCAGCCAATCCTCCGGACACAGTAGAACATTTGTTCTGGCGCAGCAACACAAGCTCAGACTGGTGGGACTGCATGGTGATGCACTCATGGGACCATCAGCAGGGCCGCAGAACTTCCAAATACAGAAGGCCACGTTCTTGAAACTTTGCAAATGGCTTGCCTCTGCCCTGAGGTGCCAGAATGCCCAAATGAGACCCGCTTTGGCCATGGAGAAGCAAGTGGCAATTACCCTATCAAAGCTTGCAATGCCAAACAGCTATTGGTCAATAGCAAATCAGTTTGGAATGGGGAAATCTACAGTGGGGGTTGCTATTATATAAGTAGCCAAAGAGATCAATAACATCGTGCTAAAGAAGGTTGTGATGTGCCTATTGGCACAGTATTTAGAGAGCATTAGCACAGCACTCCAGGCTGAGGAGGAGGAATCTCCTCCGTCTTAGAGTCTGTCACACACGCTGTACAGGCAAGCCCTTGCATTGAGTGAAATGGAACTGTAGCCAACATTCAATCCTATTGACACAGTGGAACACTGGTTCTGGTGCTGAGACAAGCACGGAGTGGTAAGACTACATTGTGATGCATATATAGAATGATCAGCAGTGCTGTAAAAACTTCTGAATACTTAAGGCCACTTTCATGGAACTTTGTGCATGGCTTTGCTATGCCCTGAAGTGCAAGAATGCCAGAATGAGACCTCCTTTGACAATGGCCCCGTGGAAGCTTGCAATGCCAGACAGCTACCAGTCAGTTGGGAATCAATTTGGAGTGGAGAAATGTACAGTGGGGGCTGTTGTTATACAAGCAGCCAAGGAGATCAATACCATTCTGATACGGAGGATTGTGACACTGGAAAACGTGGATACCGTAGTGGATGGCTTTGCCTTTATAGGGTTTCCTATCTACAGTAGAGTCACAGACGGAATGCACATCTCCATCTTGGCTCCTGATCATCTTGCCTTGGAGTACACAAACAGCAAGAAGAATTTCCACCATGGTGCTAGTGGATCACAAGGGCCGTTTCACTGACATCAGTGTGCCATAGTTGGGAAAGATGCACGATGTTCACATCTTTAGCAACTCCTGCCTCCTTCAAACGATGCACAGTGGCAACTTTTCCCCCAGACAGGAAAATCAGAGTGGGAGAAGCGGAAATGCCTGTTGGAGATCCAGCCTACCCCTTGTTCCCGGGGCTCATGAAGCCATACATGGGCAGCCCCAGCAATGAGTAGTTCAACAATATGCTGAGTAGGTACTGAATGGGTGGTTGACTGTGCATTTGTATGTTTAAAAGGAAGATTTAGGAGTCTCCTGACTCAACTGGACCTCTGTGAATGCAACATTTCCTTTGTGGTGTTGTATGCTCCATAATCTGAGAGGGTATGTCTACACTTGCAGCTTAATTCAAACGTGGGCTGCAAATGTAGGCATTCGGAAGTGCAAATCAAGCCCAGGATTTAAATATCCCGCGCTTGATTTGCATCTTCCTGGCCAGGCGCCATTTTTGAAATTTACAAGCCGTAAGTAACTGCCCGCGTCTATGCGTAGCAGTGAAACGGGTGTTCGAAATAAAGCTCTATTTCGAACTACCTGTTAAACCTCATTGCAGGAGGAACAGGTAGTTCAAACTAGGGCTTATTTTGAACGCCTGTTTCACTGCCGCGTGTAGACGCGGGCAGTAACTTAGGGCTTGTAAATTTAAAAAAAGAAAAAAAATTGGCGCCTGGCTGGGAAGATGCAAATCAAGCACGGGATATTTAAATCCCCGGCTTGATTTGCAATTCCGAATGCCTACATTTGCAGCCCTAGTTCAAATTAGGCTGCAAGTGTAGACATACCCAGAGAGAACAAGGGGGAAACTTATCTGGCAGGGGGAGGGGCTGAGGCAGAGCGCCAGCCCTAGCCAGACACTTTGAGCAGCTGCACACCAGTGTGATGAGGAGAGCACAGCAAGGGGCAGAACAAATCAGAGAGGCTTTGAAGAATATTTTTATCAAGACTTTTTTTTGAGACTCTCCCATGTGACTCTTCACAAGTTAACCCTGCATTTTTCTTCAATCCCCTAACTCCACCGCTGCCATTCAATGAAGAAAGAGACCACTATTCAAAGAACGGGAGTTTTTATTTGGGGAAAACAGCAGAGAAAGGAATGAAGTGGGAACCAGAAGAGGGAAGGGGAGCTCAGGAATGGGAGCTAGATGGCCTTCTGCCTACTGAGGGCCTGGAACGTCTGGCTTCCTGTATGTTCCCTCCCTCACTCCATGTCCAAGCCTGGTGGTGGAAGCAACGAGGCTGGGGATGTCATCGGAGCAGATGTGGCTCGGGGAGGAGGCCTTTTCCAGATACGATGGCACATGCTCCATTACTACAATCAGGGAGGTGAACATGGTCTTGGGCTGCCTTGCCTGCTGCTCCCTGGCAGCTCTTCTTTCCTGGTGCTCTGGTCCAGGCGCTCTGCCTGCATCTCCTCCACAAGGGAATGCATGCTGTCCATCCCCTCATGGAACATGTCCTCCCTTGTGCGTTTTTGCCTGCAGATCTCAGCCAGGCAGGCAGATGCTGTAGGAGGGGAAGTTCATACCGAGCTGGCTGCTGGCCCAGCTGCAAACAAGTTACAAGGGCAGACTTTACAATGCATATATTGTGTTATGCCTAACCCTAATCTGTTAGTCTGTACCACAGGTCTCTAAAGACAAAAGGAGATGTGTTCCATGCAAGGCCAAATGTTTGCTTTAAAATGGGCACTTTACAGCAGGTGCTCAGACATCTCAGGGTAGCATCAGAATGCACTCCGTCTGGAGGCAGGCAGACATGGTAAGGAGCCAGCCGCAGCATGAGCCTGCAGGTGATGATGGGTGGGAGAGGGTAGCTTCTCACTGTATATGGCACACGTGGCTTCCTGGGGACACTGCTTCTTTTTCTGCCCACAGCAACGGGGGACACTGGGGATGTTGTGCATCTGGCACACGTGGTTTCATGGGAAGAGTGCTAAAAGCTTCCCCATCTCCTTCCTCCAGGTTGCCATGCAAGAG